CAACAACAACAACAACAACAACAACAACAACAACAACAACAACAACACCAACACCAACACCAACACCAACACCAACACCAACACCAACACCAACACCACCACCAGCAGCAGCAGCAGCAACAGCAACAGCAACAGCAACAGCAACAGCAACAGCAACAGCAGCACCACAACAACAACCACAACCACAACGACTGCCACTGCCACTGCCACTACCACTACCACTACTGCTACTACTACCACTACACCTACGACTTCCACGCCAAGTGGAAAACCCCAACTGCAAAAATCGGCCCTTCCACGTGTCTCTGCCGTCCGCAGCACGCGCACTCCGCTGCAGCTCCGCCCTTCCCGTGGTCGCCGAGCGGCACTTGGGCGTCTTGCAGCCGCACGCGGTCGGCCGCCTTGAAGCCACCAGGGCCTGTCCGAAGCGAGAACCGTGGGTCGGGGGCGGTCGAGATCGAACAGAAAAAGCGTGGGGCGGTCATCGTCCAGGGAAGGAAGTTGTTTTGGGGAACGAGTTCAGTAAACAGAAAGTGAGGCATGCCTTTGTGCGGCAGCCTCCCTCTTTTCCGCGCCAAACCAGCAACCTCAAAAGGATGAATGCTGAACATTTCTGGATTTGGGCACCATGCTGGAGCCCACAATCCCTTACAAAAGACACGACCAAAGCCTTCCATTTGGTTGGGATGTTTGATTTTTGCGAAGACTCGTTTGGCAGGTTCTTGGTGTCGTGGGCAGACACCTAAAGCCCCCTGCTAGAACCTTGTGGCAAAAACTTCAAGGATCACTTGGGGATGGCTGACACCTGGAGCCCCCGTCCGGGACGTCCCTCCACCAAGGTCTCGGACCGCTCCACCCCTCGGTCTCGGCGTGGGACAACGACCCGACCGTGGGACCGCCACGTATCAGACTGGACTCGTCACTGTTGATGTGTTCGACGTCGGATTCGTTGGCAAAACCATCCACACCATCGGAAGCCGCACTTCGAACGAAGAGTCGGGTGGTTGGGTTTCAAAAGGTGCCCGAACTTAGATAAATGGGCTTCAAGAGGTTCAGAATGGTTCAGATGTCAAAAAGCATCAGGGACACTGAAGTTCAGTTCAGATGGGTTGTTCAGAAATTAATATGGGTGTGGCATGGCGCCGAATCTTCAGATCGTACCATCTTCTCTTTTTCTCTCCATAGCACGACTCCAAGAAAAGAGAGAATGGTCCTCTACACAAGTCCCAGCTCCACGGGCCCAACGTCAGGCTACGCGCGCCCGCACCGCTACCCGCGGGCCTTCTAAGAGTAAGTCGAAGCGTTGTCCAAACTCGACCACCTGGGTCTTCTGTGTGGGGCCCTGGCCGCGGGTGCTGAGTCCGGTGTTGGACATTGGAGATATGGGACGCTGACAGAACTCAGAGATTGCATCTGAAGGGACTATAGGAGCAGTTGGGGGAGTGTTCCACTGCAACGCAAAAACTCCAATAGCTCGCAAGTCTGTGCATTACATGTTGAAGCGCATTGTACCCACCGCATCCCAGCATCCTTTAAGACTGGTCCCAGGGTGGCCGTTCTCGCAACCGTGTTCACCATGATGCCTTTGGGCCCGTCGCGTGTTCAACCAGGTTCACCTCCTCGTTGCCCGAAAAGAACGCACCAAGTCTGGGAGAAATCGGGAGGGACCCCCTTCGGGACCCTCATCCTCAGTGCACACAGACACTGACAGAAGAACCAGGTGGGTGCAGTTTTCCCTCCACATCCCTCCACACAGCGCCCAGTCGTCCACATCACCCCAGTCGTCCATGGCTAGGCTGCCCACTCCAACGGAGAGGTACATGGCTTCCACTTTAAAGTGGGAGTCGTAAGGACAGGGCGCCTCAGATTCCGCGCGATTTCGCGACGCGTCGCATGGTGCTTCGTCGCAGAGAAAGACCATCAGACTATGGGAGGACTCTTCTCATAAACAAGATGGGCATCCTGCGGCATCCTCTCCTAACTACGTGGTTACGTTACAATGTTGTAATCATACGTAATTACAATTAATGTACAATTAATAAGTAATATGCAGTTACAATCAATTACATCTACTATCTACTACCACGCACCCCTTCGCAATGACAGTTGTAATCCTCTTCGAGTAGAGGATCAAAACAAATATGGTCATGCTTGCCGAATAATATATAATTATTCAACCTGAAGAGGACAGTGTGATACAGTGTGACAACTTCCAGGTTTCAGTGAAGAATCACCTTTTCCATCCTGTCCTCGTCCACATCGAGCTATCTGCAGGTTCATATGCAGGCTTGTACGGTAGCTATTGGGGGTGCAACCAGCGGAACATGCGCCCAAACCGGCCCCTGGAGACCCCAAACCGTAAGGTGGTGGTGGCTTCCACCTATACGGGTGTGCCGGGTGTCCATGAAGCACCCCGCCAGTGGGTCCTGGTGGTCCAGGGTGAGCCAAATGCCACTCCAAAAAGGTGAGTTGAGGTCGTCTCTTGACTGGGCGTTCGAAGGACTGCCAGTGGGCGAGGTGAGCCACGAAGCCATTTGGGCCCTTGGCACCCCATGGCATAAGAGTCCAATGGCACACCTTGCAGTCCCCACAAGTGCGAAGCATCACACTGTTTCTGAAAAACAAAACAGTGAAGGCTTCGCAGCTGGCAGAACACATGGTCGAAGAATGTCGAAGAGCTTCTCTGATGTAAATCAGGAGTGCTCGGAACAGTGATGCTCGGAGCCAGCGCTTGCCGTAGACTCTCTTTGACTTGGCGGGTCAAGTCTAGTAGCAACGAGACCTTGTATTGGACACTTTGGATCATTCCATGAATTCCACTTACACTCCCTGAAACCATCATGGTTCGAAAGCCTGGCCGAAGACCGCTGCAGCTTGGTTTTCACTCCACGTCATACACCGTAGCTGCTTCAAAGCGGGACGTGTCCCCATTGGTTTTTCGCGACGTGGCCATCGGCCAGATCGGCCAGATCGGCCAGACGCTTGCAGTGTCGAGGCGTTCTTCGGCCCACGTTCTTCGGCCCGGTCGCGAAGCGGGGCGGCGAAGCGAGCGCATGAGGAGAAGAAGCCGCTTCGAATTCATCGGCTCGGCGAGCATCGCATCGGTCCGACTCGGGCACTGAAGTTGGATCCAACATGATCAAAGCCATTTTTCAAGCCTCAGTTTACCATGGCCTCTGAAAGGGATTCACTCTTGGCTCAGTCTGCCCAGTTGTGGTTGTCTGTTTGGACATCCTGAGGCTTCTGTCACTTCTGTGAGATTTGACCAATAATATATGAACCTAAAGTCAGGTCGTCAAGTACAAGGAGGACATCATTCAGTACAAGCAGTTGGTTTGTTTCACCACTATATCAACTTCCCTCGCACCCATTCCACACCTACATTCCACACCTCTGACTCTGTAGTCTACACTTGATGCTCAACAGTCCTCCTCACTCCTCACCATTTGACATGATTCTAGAACCAGTTCACCGGTCACACCAGTCCACCGGTCTTCACCACCGGGCTTCACCCGCGACGGTCGCTTCAACGCACCCGCTTCGTTGCAGCCCGTTGATACCACGGTGACCACGTCGGTCCGTCAGCTCGCGCCGTCCGTCCGCGAAAGGCGCTCGGCCCAGTGGCCACGTCGCACCAGCAAACCTTCAACTCGGTGGCCTCGTCGAGCTCGGGAGGCGAGGTCGCAGGGTGCGATCGGTGGCAGAAGAAAGACCACCGGTGCCAGCGCGCAGCAATTCAAAAGCGGGATGGTCTCATTAAAAGCGGGTCAGGTCGTCGACGTCTTTCTTTCGGTGGGGTTCACGGGAGGGTTCATGGGAGCACCGTTCACTTCAAAGTCCATCCAAACGGTTCAAGTCATCAGCATTGGTGGACTTCGGCTCCCGTCGTCGGCTTCGGTTCGGTGGGACTGGGGGGGGCCCGGGTGCCAAAGACCTGAGGAGGTACGTCTGGAGGTACAGGAGCGAATTGGTGGATCAGTGCTGGGACGACTGGAGGTACCAGTGTGCGCATCCACCAGGTGCTTTTGGGGCACTGGTCTTCAGAAGGGCACTCGTTCCAGGAAGGAAGGGCACTCATTCCATTCGAGGATGGTTTCTCAACATGAATGTGGATGGATCCCTGTCCCGATCCATGTTCAATCACAAAAACCTGAAAGATCATACATCAAACCAAAAGGTTGCAGGACGTTGAGAACCCTCAGAAGTTCTTCCACCTTTACAAGTAACTCCATCGTGTTTTTGTTGAGTCTCTCGAACCTCAAACCTGCCATGCCATGCCTCGCCTCATCAATGATCAGGTCGCGCCAAACCTATCGACTTCACGAATGCATCGACGCTTTCGTTCCAGGACATCGACCAGACTGGTGTAGTGTGTGTGTGTGTGTCAACCCCTGTCTCAAAGGGACCTATTTTTGCTATCTAT